CGGTAAGCAGGTACTGTTTTTATTGAACCAATCGCTGCTGTTTGGTCGTGACGTTTGTAAAGCTCCAAATCCTGTAGGAAGAAGAACAACAACGTCTTTTCCCCGAGATCAAATTCACCAAACATTCTCTTTGTTCTGGTTTTAAATCCTCGATCTCAGGAATCATTACCAACACACAATGTCTGTCTCTTCTCTGATTGGCTGGTGCCCGAACTCACACTTCCGGGTTCTTACAAATCGTCTAGTGTTTTCTGATTCCTGATCTAGTCGCTGGAGAGAAATGAAATTGAGCAGAGGCACTAGGTGGCGCCAGACTGGCAAGAACGATCTATAATTTTGGACCGAAAATCGCGATATCAGACGACACGATTTTGGGAGCATCAAAGCTGCAGCGCTCCTAAAGCCCGATTTATGGATTCGAAGTCTGTGCGCTAGGGATGGGCATGATTAGTCGATTAATTAATAATTGATCATTAATAATTTCATCGATTCCGTTCATTTTAATCAACAAACTGAATGTATGTTTGTGTGTCGTGACCAAACAGGTGTGTACATGTGTCTCTGCATCAGAAGGAGCGAGACACAAACAGTGGGTCAGTCTGTAACGAACCGAAGCACAAATGTGGATTTAACCAGGATTTGTAGAAGAAATTCCACACTTTCCGTTGCGTTGGGACAAGTGTGAGTCCATGTGCACAGTGGATAAAGCAGCACATATGTTTCTGTGTCCAGTGGGAAAAAGTTTTTCCAGGTGAGAGTCGCTCAATGTGGATGACGAGGCCCCGCCCCCCTCCCCCCGTACGCTGTCCTGGTTTTGACAAACACAAATCTGGTCACACTGACCTGTATTCACCTGAGTCATGTCTTTTAATCCAACACAAGTTGAACCACATCAGCGACACAAGAGCTGGAGTTTTATCTTCACTTAGTTTATGTAAATTAGTGATGTGGTTTTAAGTTTTGTTTCTGTGAGATTTGAACAAAACTGAATTAAACACATTATAATGTCAAACAGCTGATGTGGATCTAGAGTCGTTATGTTTATATGTCGTAAAGTTGAATTTATTGATGCAGATTAGTGCAGATAGTAATAATAATGATGATCATTTTAATATAAAAATGTTAATAATCGATCGTTAATTCTGAAATCGTTATTCTGAAAATGTAATCGAAGCCCATCCCTCGTTGACATGTTTTTCTCTCAGACGGAGACGGAGTTTTGGTTCATTCTGGTATTTTCGTGATAAACGTCCTAAAGTTTCCTCTTTTTCAGTTGGAGACTCGTCTGTTCTGAATCTGTCTGATTTTTATTAAACTCGAGCTTTTCCTTTGTGTCTCGACTCAGTTTCTTTTGTAAAATAATATAAGAAGTCAATAAAACGTTCAAAAACTGCAACATTTTACTGGATTTTTTGTGTGTTTTATTTAAAATGGTGACACAGCAGTAAATATTTCTATATATATTTATGTGCTGTAAGACTCTGACAGAAGCTCTAGAGCGACATTTGTACATTTTTCAAAATAAAACAGTAAAATTGCGTTCGTGAGTGACCTAAACACATAAATATTTATTCTTCTACACGTGTAAACCAGACGGCAGTGAAAAGTGAACAGTTAGTGGTTTAAGGTTTTAAAGCTGCACTAAGTCACTTTTCTAGCAATTTAATCGTCTCCATGGAGATGTTTTCACGGCGACTAGAATGTTCCGCAATATGACAGGAAATGAAGGAAATAAAAACACGTGTATTAGAATAAATGAAAGAGGTTTGTTTAAAATCTGTGTCGTTCGTTTTTCAAAATAAAATGAAAAATAAGAAAAAAAAAAGAAAAAACAGATAATGATTCGTTTTTTCAGTTTTCGATTTTGTGTTTAAATTAAAAAAGAAAAACAGACTAAACCAAGACCAAACCAGGACTAAAACAGGACTAAAACCAGGACTAAACCAGGACTAAACCAGGACTAAAAACAAACCAGGACTAAACCAGGACTAAAACAGGACTAAACCAGGACTAAAACAGGACCAAAAGAGGACCAAAACAAGACTGAACTTAGACCGGGACCAGACCAGAACGAAGACCAAGACTGGGACCGGGTCTGAGCCCAGGACCAGACCAGGACCTGGACTCAGACCGTGATTGAGACCAGAACTGAGACCAGGACCAGACCAGGACTGAAAACTGTTCACTCCTGGTTCAGTCCTGGTTCAGTCCTGGTTTAGTCCTGGTTCAGTCCTGGTTTAGTTCTGGTTTAGTCCTGGTTTAGTTCTGGTTTAGTCCTGGTTCAGTCCTGGTTTAGTTCTGGTTTAGTCCTGGTTCATTTTTCATTTAAACACAAAATCGAAAAATAAAAAAATCGATAGTTGTGTTTTTTTTCCTTTTCCTATTTTTGGTTTTATTTTGAAAAACGATTGACACACAGATTGTTTAATGCCATACTGTGGAACATTCCAGGCACGGCAATGACATCTCCATGGAGACGAGCAGAACGCGTGCGATCGGGAAAGTTCCGTAGTGCAGCTTTAGCACAAACATCGACACAAACACGTGAGATTTTCTTCTTCCACGTTTCACTTTAAAGGTTCACTGTGTAACTTTTCCCGTGGAGTTTGTTTCCCAGTACGGTTTTTAAACTTTTCTATCTCCGTGGAGACCAAACCGGATGCAGTTCCAGGTCAGATCTGTGGAGAGGCGACCTCGCTCACGGTCACAACGTCTGGTTTTTCTGGGGATTTTTTGAGCTTTTAAATCCACCTGTGATTTAGTGGAGCTGTTTAAAGTCACACTGCGGAACATTCCGGACAGAGCGATGACGTATCCATGGAAACAAGCAGGTGACGGACGTGTGTGTGTGTGTGTGTGTGTGTGTGAAAGTGTTTGGACCTGAAATGTTCTGGATTATAAAAAATCTTAAAGCTGCTGCGTAACTTTCCTCGTGGAGGGTCTGTCACCTGCTCGTCTCCATGGTGATGATGTTGTTTTGTCTAGAATGTTCCACAGTGTAGACGGTGTCGGGGAGTAACAGATTACATGTACCAGAGTTATGTAATCAGAGTACAAATGATGACTCATACCAGGCCGGGACTGAGACCGAAACCAGACTGGGACCAGACTGAGACCGGGACCGAGACCAAGACCGGGACCAGACCAGAGGATCAGAGCCCACAGCAGGTCCAGAGCTCGAAGCTGAGGCTCGGAGTCAAAGCTCGGAGTCCAGTCTGGTCCCGGTCTGGTCCCGGTCTGGTCCCGGTCTGGTCCCGGTCTGGTCCCGGTCTGGTCCAGGTCTGGTCCAGGTCCCGGTCTGGTCCCGGTCTGGTCCGGTCCTGGTCTGGTCCGGTCTGGTCCTGGTCTGGTCCGGTCTGGTCCCGGTCTGGTCCTGGTCTGGTCCGGTCTGGTCCCGGTCTGGTCCTGGATCAGTCCTGGTTCAGTCCGACATCACAGTCAGTGAAGTCATGTAAACGGGAAACGGTCGTTATCTGTTTTTTCATTTTGGTTTTGGAGACAAATAATGAAGAAAATAGTTGATTTTTCATTTTCTTATTTTTGGTTTTATATTGAAAAACAAATGAACGAATGAACGAGGTCGATGGCTCAGATCTGCAGCCTCACCTCCATCCGTCTGCCCCAGGGCGGCTGTGCGGAGCAGTTCATGAATGAACTTGAATCATCTCCATGGAGACGAGGAGACGAGCAGGGAGTAAACCCGTTTATCTGGGGTCGGGTCGAGGCGCGTCAGGGACTCCCAGACTTCCCTCACCCCAGACACTTCCTCCTTGTCTCCCAGGTAACAAACCCTCCACCAGAAAAGTTACGCAGTGCAGCTTTAAGACCAGAGTGGCTCCTCCCTGTAACAGTGAACAGTTTTTACAGTAATAAACTGTTTTTTAAACAGTAATAAACAGTAATAAACAGTAATAACATTTGTATTTGTGTAACAGCAGTGATTTACACGTTTCCCTTTCACTTTAAATATTCCTAAAATACAATTAAAATATGGATCCAGCCGCCGCTGACTCCTGTTTATATTAGTCTAGATTGAAATGTTTAGTCCTGGTCCAGTCCTGGTCCAGTCCTGGTCCAGTCCAGGTCCAGTCCAGGTCCAGTCCTGGTCCAGTCCAGGTCCAGTCCAGGTCCAGTCCAGGTCCAGTCCAGGTCCAGTCCAGGTCCAGTCCAGTCCAGTCCTGGTCCAGTCCTGGGATCCTGTAGGAGTAAATGTTCTGTTAATCCCGGTGTCTCTCCTGGTCTTCCTCTGCGTCTCGTCTCCTGTAACACTCAGTTTAATCTTGATCATCCTCTGCGTCTCTTCTCTAACAATGACATTTATTCCTTGTTAAACTCCGTCTCTTCCTCTGCGTTTCTCTGTTTAATCCTTGTTAAATTCGTCTCCTGTAACACTCAGTTTAATCTTGGTTTTCCTCTGCGTCTCCTTTCGGACAATGACCTCTATTCCTTGTTAAACTCCTGCTCTTCCTCTGCGTCTCCTCTGTTCTGATGATGAATCTTCCTCTACGTCTCATCTGTGGTGTTTATGTTTAATATTTATTAAACTCCGGTTCTTCCTCTGAGTCTGTTTTGTGGTGATTGTTTAATCCTGGTTTTCCTCTGCGTCTCCTCCTCCTCGTTTCTCTCCTCTGCGTCTCCTCTGTTCTGATGATGAATCTTCCTCTGCGTCTCGTCTCTCGTAATCGTCTCTGATCTCAGTTTCTTATTCAGTCTTCCTCTGCATCTCGTCTCCTGTAATAGTCAGGTTAATCCTGCTCTTCCTCTGCGTCTCCTCTGTTCTGACGTTGAGTCTTCCTCTGTCTCTTTTGTATTTAATCTTGGATCTTCCTCTGCGTCTCTTCGGCGGTGTGTCTCTGATTCCTTGTTAAACTCTGGTTTCTCCTCTGCGTCTCGTCTCTGGTGTTTTTCTGTTTATTCTTTGTTAAACTCTGGTTCTTCCTCTGCGTCTCGTCTGTGGTGTTTTTCTGTTTATTCTTTGTTAAACTCTGGTTCTTCCTCTG